AAGCACTTGAAGTCTTGAACTTTATTTTGTCTAGATTCCTACTTTTTAAGGTTTTTCTTCTTTCATGAATTTTAGCAAATTGTATGATTAGTTTGTTTTTTAAAGGCACTTGAATTTTATTTTGTCTTGATTCCTACTTTTTAATTTTCTTTTCATGAATTATAGCAATTGGCTAAATACATTATCTTTCAGAGTAGGAAATCTAATCGATGAACATTTTTTACATCATTACATTTAACTAGTTAACCTCATAACTTTCCCAAAAACCATAGCATGTTAGCAATAGCTAAAGTTGCCTTTTCATTTCCTTCCCTTCTAATTCCCTCTCCCGTAGTATTGCACAAACTGTAACACAAAAACTGCAACACAAAATTAATTTAACCTTGAATTAAAAATTATTTAAGAAAACAGGTTTGCAGTGTGCAGACAGAGACGCATGGTTGAAAGCACGACTTTCTCAAGTTCATAAAAGAGTGCCACATCCACCCTCGTAGCACAACAGTATTTGGAACAGAAAATAAAAACATCTTTAGATACAACAAAAAAGATTCAAACAAAATTATGTCTTCATGTTGATTCAGATTCTCATCTCAATTGTGATCTGCTGTAGCGGTCAGCAGCCATCGATAATGATTGTATCGAAATAGGGAAAGATGGGCCCATCTGCACAAAATTCTCAAAAACTCATTCAGTCAAGAACGGGAAGTCATGCATAAGGCCGTAATCTAGTCGAAATATATAGTATATAACAATCAATTTCAATTAGATATATAATATTAGCAAGTGAAAAGACAAAAGCGTGATGAGTGCTCCACTTACCGTGCTGCAAATGTGGAAGGCATCAACATACCCAGCATATTTTGAACCTGTAACGAGAGTGGATTAAGGACCAGTCGACAATTAACTCTTTAAGTAGGATGGAAATGCAAGAAAGCATAACAAGTATGTAAAATACATATTTTTGAACTTCAAATTCCCATTGTCATGCAAAGAATGTATTTCTTTATGCAGACTAAATCTATCAATAATGTCTATTTATCCAAAACAGGCACATAATAATGGTTTTGGTTCAATGAACTCCACTTACTCTTTTTCAAACCAGCAGGCTTGGCAAGCAAAAGAGCATTTACAAATGCACCAATATTGTCCCTTAAAGCATCCTCTGTAAAGCTAAGCTGTGAAAGTGTTAACAAGCAAGAGGAATCAGAGTTGCAGCATGGTTAACCATGGATTAAGTAAATCAAAAGGCTCATCTTCAGATAATCGTAACATGGGAAAGAAAATGTACCTTTCCCAGTCCTACATGTACTATTGCGGTTTTGTCTTTCTTGAAACGAATGCTTGGCACTTTTGCTTCTTTGACAGTCCGCGTTATGTCATTGGTTAATGTACCTTTCTGCATATTAAGATGCTTTTTAGACATTATTGCTACCTATTAGAACTGTCAAATGATCAAGGTGATAAAACTGACCTTGGTGTCTGGCATTAATTGTTTAAGATATTTTGATAACTGCATAGAAATTATAATTAGATACAGAATTGGATAAAATAAGAACATCAAATTTATTGAAGTCAAAACTCTAAACCTTTTTCACATGTTCCATCATGGAAGGAGTAGCAATACACTTGTCAAAATCTACTTTGATTTGACCTGCGTCGAATCAAAATAAATCTATTGAAATATGTTGTATGCCAAAATTTCTTGCTATCACTCTTAGAAATGTTTTACTCACAAGAAAGGTTTACGCCTTTTGAGCTTTAGCATATTCAAACACCAAAAAGCGAAGTCCAATAAAGATAATAGTTACTTATGTACGTCGAAAATGTGGTTTTGACTTCAAATAGGAAAAAGGCAAAAGAATCTCCTAGGCTCCTACATAAGTTTATATATGGTAAGTTGTCATCAGAATACTCTCAATGAGAAATTCCGCTTGAGGATTATAACAACAAATACCAAATAGACACCCCCTTGATATAATTCCTTGTTTGGTAATGTTGTCATTACTTATTTAGTGGAGGCTATTTCACCCTACTAGGATTTCAGTTTAAGACCTTTTATTTTACATGTTAATGTATACCTTTTGATCAATCCCCTTCACTAAGTGAGAACAAGTGGAGGGTTTGTCTAAGAGAAAAAATTTAACATCTAAAGTATTTAAGTCGGGAATAAAATACCGATTTGCTGTATGCATAATGTGCACACAAATATCTAATGCAAACACACAAAAAAGTTATTTGACAATAACATGTAAGACAGTGGTAAATCACCAGTCCGAATATTCTCCACCAGTTCTTGGCCGCCAACAATATCAGCTCCAGCATCTCGAGCCTCATCTGCAGCAGCTCCTTCCGCAAAGACGGCCACTCGATGTGTCTGATAACAGTTCAAGTTATCAGACATTTATTGACAAGTTTTACTGAAGATTACAACAGCAAATGCAATTTTGTAATTTTACAAAAAAATAATTTTACCTTGCCAAAACCATGTGGAAGGCACACAAAACCCGCCAGCTTCTGCTTGTCAACAAGAGAACAAAAGATTTAAAGATAAATTCATGTCAAGATAACATGCAATAATAAATGACTTAGTGTCAAATACAAGAATCCTAGGCAGGAAGAAAGGATAACAATAATGCAATCTTTCGATTCTTCCCAGCATCTGTCAATAGACCAAAGGTCTTGGCCAGAAAGTCATATAATATATAGTACACAATCAGTAAATTGCTGGAGAGAGAGCAAGATTCACTCTTGTCCTTGTCTTTTAGTTTTCTTTACTGCATCTCCAGCCCAGGTATTTAACAAAAATTATCAGTTGACATCAATTGAAAATGAAGTTTGATTTCAGAATAACAGAATTCAAGGAAACGTTTCAGTGTTCGGTAAAATGATGAATATTTTCCAGTCAGCACAATACAAAGGCTTACCTTACATAATTCTAACAATTTTTATTAACAGATTGAATAGTATCTGTAACATGATTCTCACTTTGGTCTCACAATGAATGGACTTTTGTATTCGAGCTTTTTCAGTGATGTAGATGACTTACCTAATAGGAACAGAATAATTAGGAAATAACTCCTCTTACGTTTCTTGACAGAACATCAAAACCCCAGGCTCAACATATAAGCAATATCGATAATACTATGAAACAAGAAAAACACAATGTTCGTACCAGATCAGTTCGCCGCAAGTCTGGACTCATTCTCACATGTGCTTCTAGTGTTTCATCAAAAGTTTTCTTGGCACCAGCCTGTACAATTGCTAAAGTGACAGCAAATCAAAACAATATTAGTATCAACTCGAGGTTAGATATGGGTCCGAACCATTTTATGCATCTTCTTTTTCTCTTATAAGAAACAGATAATTTTAAAAATAATTAAAAATGCTACAGTTATTGAAAAGATGCCAATTTAAGTGATGAAACTGAAAAACCATCTCCATCACATCAAATCGCTAGTCTCAGAACAAACAAGTGTTTGAACTGTTTATGACTCCAGACCCACGATGCTGCCCTCAACTTAGCTTTATTATAACATTCTAATATTGTTTGTTTGACATCATTAACTAAACTCTGTTCTTATATTTCATCCCTACAGATAATACAAGTGGCCGCTCTTCATAAAATCATACTTTTTCATAGTAGAACATCCTAGATCAGTTGTAAATAGATACAAGCACGACTACGGAATCACCGTTGAGAAGAAATGCCATTTAAATTGTATATCATAACTGGAGCAAAGATGAACACAAGAAACCAGGTGATGCCTTCGGATTACACACCATTTCATATAGAGAAGAATACACGAATTTCTTCTTTGTATAACAAGAAAAAAAGAGGAATCTCAACCAATATGAGCAACCACAAAAACTGTTACTTGATACATAAAATTTTCAATTTTTATTATCAGGAAGGAAAAAAAAAATGAAGAAAATTATTGTGGAAACAAGGAATTATAACACAATTGACAAATAATAAAAGATAAAGGAATGAGATCATGCAGCAGTAATCCTCTCGAAATCTGACCCTGTTACACCCTCTGAATGAGATTTCACATTGATTAAGAATTCCTACTTCCCTCATAAATAAATGTACATACAATAACATACATATCCCAACCAATCCCATTCCCAAATTAACTTTATCAAGCTGGAAACTACAAATGCACCTTGGATTCTGATAAAACCAACAGAACAAACAAAAGGGGTGAGAGAGGAAGACGAAAGAACCGACCTTCACCAGCTGAATAGCCTCCTTGAGATCGTAGATGACCTTGCCTTTCTTCTTACTGTTTCGATCAGTATTCTCCTCCTTAATAGGCTTTGGGAAGGGCAAAGCCACGTCCTCCTCCTCCAGCCTCGCATACGCCGAAACCCCGTGCCGCCTGAATTCCTCGATCTTCTTCCTTTCCCTTTCCAACCCCTCGTTCCCATCCGCTGTACCTTCCTCTCCCCTTTTCGTGTACTCGGGCAACGGGGCAACACGGGTCGGGTAAGAAACCGGGGTAATCATTGGTGCGTCCTTCATGTACCGCATCTCATCCCGGGACCACGACCGGGTTTCCCGGTTGACGGGATCCTGGGAATCCGGCGGTGAGGTTTGTGTTTCAGGTGGGGGTTTCTCCAGATTTTCTTCGGTCGGTTGAGGTTTAGGCCTGGCCGCGTACGAAACGGTCTGGATATTGATCGGCTGTCGTGAATTGGCAACTTTCGGGTCGGCGTTCGGTTCGGGGTTTGGAGACGGTTGGGGCTCCGTGGAGAAGTGGCGGCGAAGGAGCGAGACCAGGTGGCGAGGTGGTAATGGTGATTCGCCGGATATGCAGCGGCGAGCGGTTGGAGAGAGCAGGCGTTTGAAGGCCGCCATTTTTCTGTGTGCGCGGAGGTCGAAGTGTAGTCGCAGACTGAAAGGTAGTGGGGTTTTAGGGGAGGGTTTCTGTGTCTTTTTTTTGGTTCCCTTTTTATTTTCTTTAATTTTCTCCACTTTTTTTTAAAAGGTCTACTTGGAAAAATGCAAGTGGGAAATATAATTTACAATTTAGGAGATGTGGTCTCTTTGTATGAAACAAAAAATAAAAATAATAATAATAATAATAATAATAATAATTGTACATACAGTTTGCAAAGACATCATATTAAAAGTACTTCAATGTTCTAATGTTGTAATAGAATAATTTTTTACAAATTTCAATTAATTAAATGGATTGTGAACCATTTAAAAAAACTGTTAAGTTTACAATTATGAAATTAAAGAATTCTCTCTAATGCACAATTTTGTCTAACTACGATATTATCAACTTACCAATAGTAAAAATTAATAAAAAGAAATAAAATTAATTAAATATTTTGATAATTTGGAATTAGTAAGAATAATTCTCTCTTCTCTTTATTGGTTAGCTAGAGTGTAGATAAGAATATGGATGCATCACATTAGTTTCTATATTGTAGACATTAATTTTATCCATATCATCACAACATGTACACTTGTGGAGGAAGCATGTACACTTTCCTTCCAAAAATCCATGCAAGAATACATTGTTTATGTGTACATGATGAAGTGGGCATCCGTAGAGAGATCAATGTTGAATATCACAGTGACAAGCTTAGCCACAGGTGAAAAGCTAATTCTGAAATCCACCCCTTCAATTTGTAGATATCCTTTTGCCACCAATCGATCTTCATATTTGTCTATAGATCCATCCATGTACCTTTTAATTTTAAGCCTATAACTTTCTTCCCATGAGCTAGAGTAGTAAGCTGCCAGGTCTCATTCAATTCAAGAGGCTTTAATTCTTATCCATGGCTAACACCCATTTTTCATCCTTGATAGCTTGAGAGTAGAACATTGGCTTAGTAGGTGTTTTAATTTAACCTCAACTATAAAGAGTTGTGTATCATTCATCTCAACACAAGTAAGATTTGCATCACTGATGTAATCTTTTAGCCAAACAGGTTTCCTTCTAGTCCTTCTTGACCTTTGAGGTGTAGCAACAACCTCTCCATCTTGTCTCCAATATAGGTTCCATGTCAAGTTCCCCAGTTCTATCACCAACTTCAATAGGCAGTGGCACATCATTTTGCATTTCAGACCCTTTTGGAAAGGGAATGTGGATTCATGGAAAACCACATCCCTATAAATAAAGATTTCTTTTGTCTCTATATTGAACACTCTGTAGCTTTTAACACCATTCACATTGTTATAATTGTGAGTGTATTAAATGGAAGGTGGTTGGAATATTTGTTGAGTGAGTGTATTAAATATTGAAAGAGGTTGGAATATTT